CCTCATAAACGCAGTGTTCGTCTCAGAAATGGATTACCGTTTCCTGTAGCTGTCTGGAATATTTCTATGTCTTCCGACGCAAGACAATATTTTACGGTAATCGTCTGACTGCGGCTGCAAAGCTTGCTTCATTATAAGTTGTTGATCACCTTTGATGTCTTTTTTATTGGTTTACTTTAGGTTCGTTTATTTGAGAAAACAACAGTAATTGGAGTAGATGAAGAGCAACCAGTCTTTTTGTTGAAATATAACAAGCGAGTTCCGGATACATTTGGCCAAGCTGTTGTTTACGTACATACGAATATTTCTACTTACCGAGTTAATTTATGGAAATATTCTGGCAAAGTCCAGGTTTGGTAATTTGTTCCCCACCCTTTGACAAACACTTTTTTTTTTCAAATGCTGCTGTTTAGGTTGAACTTTTTTCCGTGGACCAGGAGTCGTTCGACTTTGGTTTGCTGGAAAGAAATGACACAAGAACAATAAGAGTATGCACTTTTCAAAGAAGCTTGTCTGCATAACAATTAGTTTTGTGTTTAGTTTGTTATTCGCAATAAGAACCACGCTTTGATGACAGTTAGAGGGTTGGCAGTCCCGCTGCCAGCAATCCACAGACTTTATCTGGTTTCCATACTTGAGAAGCATGCATTAGGAACATGGGTACCAAACGAAAGTCGCGAGGAGTGGCCACAGGTTAGACCTTTCAAATACTTTCTACTACCGGAATTAATAAATCTTATTAACTTTCTAAGATTTCACGATTGGTACTACATCATGTTAACCTGCTATCGATTTTGTTGCAAACTGTAACCTAATTATATGGCATATATGAACTAGACATATCGTTACTGCAGGGAGCTGACTTGGAGATCCCTCCACATAGTGCAGCATTTCTGGATTTTGAGTTAAGACTGCCACTAGATGGCACATTCTACCCTTCACAAATGGTCGTTGCTACTGAGTTTGAGAGCAAAGTTTTTCCTGTGAAGTATGAGGTAGTTTGAATGAGTCCCTTCACTGATAATGTTTGAAATATTTGTTGTCATTTAGATAGCACAAGGTAGTTTGACTTCAATTCCTGATCGTATTTCTTTTGGAAAAACTCACCCCGGCAAAGTGGTGTTCATGAATCTGCAGGTTGGTGTAGCGATTACATTTTGCGATAACTTACCTCGAAGATAACCTTATCTATCTTATTTTAGATCTTTAACTCATTTGCGGAGGATATGCAAGTTACTCGCCTCTCAACTACTTCTAGAGATCCTAGGTTTTTCTTCGAAGGTTTTGATCCGGCCCATCCACCTGTGCTAAGATCTGGGCGACTGACTAATTTGGGTAGATCAACCTCACTCAACCTTGAAAGTTGCATCCACTCCAAAATGTATTTCAGGGCGCGTGATGTTTCTTCCTGAAACGCCATGCTCGCATGACTATTGCTACCTCGGCCTTCCTCTCCATACAACTGGTACAATTTCAACAGGAAATTTTCTTTTACTAATTCTATCATACTTTGCAGATGGACAATGGTTTGTGCACGGGTTAACATTACCGGCTAATTTAGCTGAGGTTGATAGTTATCTATACAAGAAACAGCGAGCTCGATTTGATAACCTTGTGAAAGCTGGGAAGCATCGCGTGAACACTACAGTCATTGTTGATACTGATAGGGCAAAAAACATTCAGGTAATGTATAAGTTCTTTTTCTATTTCTTTCTTGCTAAATTTCACGTCATAGTTTATGCTCTCTTTTTTTAATTACATCGTATTTTTACAAGTCTGCGAATTTCGGAAGCAATATCAGCATTTTAACTACGTACATGAATTTAAACACCTTTCTCGTTGCCGCTTACTGTTAATCTTTCTGTTGTTTTTTTGGCTTACAATGTTGGGAGAGGAGCGCAGTGCTTGCGAGGCATACTCTTAGGTTATTCGTTAGTTATTCGCGATCTTCCTACGGATATGTCTTTACGACTAGCTCTGCCCATTAG